ATAGCTGATGCTTTTGGTACCATATCCATCTTCCCTTGACCAGGCTGGCGCATCCGTCCTCCATCCGCTCTGCACAAGGCCAGCCTCCTTGCCTCACAATGGTATCAATTCCATGGTGCAATTTACACACCAGGGCTCCTCCGTGGGATCAGGCTGGAGCCCATCTCCCCCTGGAAAAACCACCCCTCTTTTGTTACTTCCCCTGCCCTGTCCTGCCTTCCTTTTCCTTTCTCCCTTCTGTGAACACTTCTTCGTTACATTATTTCCTGGAGAATCCCTGTCTCAGGTTCCACTTCCAGGAACCTGAACTTAGATACTTTATTGTGTCTGTTCCCGTTTCAGCTGTTCTGAGGAGATTCCTATCCCTGGCAACTCAGAGCTCTGAGGGCACTTCTTTAGTTTACATTACGTAAGCTTTCATTCCAAGTCGTTATTATATAATAATGTCTCCTATATCCATTATCTGGTTATATCAACATTTAACTATTTGCCTGTCGTTGAACATATGGGTGTTATAATTTTCTGTTCTATCCAGTACTGTGATAAAGTTTTGACCTTTGAAGTTCAAAAAATAAAACAAATATACAATAAAGTCTCTTTCATTTAGTATATTTGGTCAAGGCAAAATTCAAATCCCCTCTTGGGACTCTTTGCCACCTCCTATATCCCCCTGTTTTAAAGTACTGGTGTGTTAATAGAAAAACAGAGGTATAGTAAAGCCAACAGATCAGGAGACAATTGCCATTGGCAAGAATGCATTACTCACAATTTCCAAGAAGGAGAGGAGGCATGCCACACCACAGGGTGTGGGGGGGGGGCACACGTACAGAAGCACCAGTGCTGGTCTGGGACAGAGGAACTTTAGGCAAGAGCCTTTCTTGTGGTCTCTGTAGGAAGTTGTGGTGACAGGTGGGTGACACAGGGTAAGCAGTTTTAGGATTGGCTGCTTTGAATAATTTCACTGGTCTCTGGGGCTTAAGTGCAGCCCCTAGTCGTCTGGTGCCCAGCCCTGAGGCCAGGAAGGCAGGTAGAGAGCAGCCTGAAGTGTGAGAGCCCAATAAAGAAGAATGAATGGGAGTACGCACTCTGGATTGATTGGTTTGTATTTAAAAAGTGCATCCCCAAGAGAAGGATTCTCTGAAAGGGCAGGTGGGTGGGTGACAAGGGAGTCGGGAGGCCAAGGCAAGGAGACTCAGGCACACGATTGGGTCATGCAGAACCAGGCATATCTGGCATATGCACGCAGGGTGAATGTTAAAGGGCCAAGAAACATGTTTAAAACACCCGACGACCCCTGCTCCTTCCCAAAGGACAGTGGGAGACTAACGTCATTGTAACAGGACATGACTGCCAGCCTCATCCCTGGGCATTATGCCAGCATCCACCAAGGTGTGGCCAGTCCCACCTAGCTCTCTGGGGCCCTCCCATTGGTACCCATTGCTGAGGTATGCAGTCACAGCCTCTGGTCCTGAGGTCCTGCACACTGCAGGCTCTTTGTCCTGATTCAGACCTTTATATCCAGATGTGCTCTGGGCACATGAGTGTCCTCACTGGGGCACGCAGAATCTGTCTGTAGTCACAGAGGTGGAGGTGGCTATCCTGGATGTATCCCCCTTCATTCTTCCCTCTCTGGTTTCTGTTCTACCTGCTTTTGTGGTATCTCTAATACCTTGCTGAACTGGGGACTTCTCTGAGGGTTTTGGACAGTCTCCCTGTAACAGTACAATTCTTACAGAACAAATAAATCCTGGAGTTCCCCTAGAAATTTCTAGTTGTTTCTAACACATACTGGGATTTTTTTTGTGCCCACTCTTTGGACATCTTGATTCTTAATAGAACCTTCTCTTTGTTTTCTGGGAAGCCTCATAACTTAGTCTTCAGGGCAGAAGATCCAAGGGAAGAAATTGATAAAGAAATAAGACAAAAATATCACTTCACCAAAATAAGTTGGAAAACATTCTTTCGAATATTAAACCTCATTTTGTAGTATTGGCATTATTAGGATGATTATATTAACTGTCACCATGTATTGATTACCCATGAAATGTTCACTGTTTACATACATTATCTCAAGTCCTCTGCCAGACTGAAGATTATTTATTATCCACATTTTGCAGATAAGGAAAATGAGGCTCCATATGGTTAACCTGCTTGAAGTCACGTATCTATCGGAAGGAAGGCAGTGCTGGAATCAAATCCAGCCCTCACACTAGAACTCTCCAGCCTCCATTTCACTACGCGTTGTGGGATGAGTAGCTTATTGTTACTTGGAGTTTGATGCTTGGCAGGAAAATACAGTCTTCTCTCAGACACCTAACACGGGGACTGAGCCTCCAAAGAAGGCTGCCCTGGTCCCCAAATTCCCCATCTCTGTTACCCTGGCCACCAGATGAGAAGTCTCTCCTTCTCCCCAGGACATCATCTCCCCAGCCAAAAGGGTCTTTTTGCCTTTCCTTCTGGCTCAGAGTCAGGGTGTCCTTTGGTGTGAAGTCTAGAACTAGGATCCATTAGACAAAACCCTTCAGAGACACCCACAAGGCAGACCCTTTTGGAAGAAAATGGGAAGTCTCAAGGAGAACACCCCCCATGAGTTATCAACAGGGTAATAATGATGGCCATCCAAGCTGGGACTTTTGAGACCTCAAGGGAAAGTATTAAAAATTGCACTGAAACAACCAGTATAAACTGGAACTGAGCCAGTGTAAGCAAAGCACCGGGTCCCCCTACCCATAGGTAGAGCCAGTGGGAAACAGGCTTCGAGATTCTCCTGCAGCACTTTAAATCCCAGCAGAACATCCTTCTGGGGGGACGTTCCCCCCAACTATTAGCATTATTAGTGCCCGTTAACTATGTCATAGTCAAAGATGTGCTTCATTCTTCAGTGTGATTGCCATTGATTTTTGAAATCCACATCTTCTTCCCCAGGGACACACATCTTCAGCAAAATGATAGAAGGAAATGGAAAAGAAGGGTTAGATTTATAGGCACTCATTTTACAGGCATTGCTTTGGGGATAAAGTCGGTCTTAAAGCAGTGCTCCTTAGAGGACAGTCCAGGAACCACCTGCAGCAGAATCACCAGGAAAGTTGTAAACATGCTGATTCCCGTGTCCTGCGGAGGACCTACCACAAAACAGATCTCTGGGGACGGGGCTGGGAAACATGTGTATGTTTTTTAAAGATTTATTTTATTTATTATTTTAGAGAGAGAGAGAGCGAGCAGAAGGAGGGGCAGAGGGAGAGGAGAGAGAGAATTTCAAGCAAACTCCACATTGAATGCAGAGCCCGAAACAGGGCTCGATCTCACAACCCTGAGATCATGACCTGAGCTGAAATCAAGGGTCAGGCACTTAACCAACTAAGCCAACTGAGCACCCTGGGAATTCTGTGCATTTTTAACAAGTCCCCTGGAGGATCTGTGTGTACTGAAGCACACAGAAGGCCACCACACCAGGAAATCCAGGTAGCAGGTGAGCATGTCCTGATTTTGCTCCTTGAGCTTCAGGCTGTGGGACCTCAGGTCCAAGATGCACCAGCAAGGGCTATGAAACCTCCCACGCCTTCAGAATATGATTCAGGGCAGTCCCCAGGCAGGATGTCAGATAAAGCTCTCAAATTCCTGGTGGATATGCCAGCTCTGGTTTACTGTGTGCAGAGGTGCCTGGGTCTCCGGAGCAGAGTGGGCAGGTTCTTGGCGGTGGCATCTGCCAGGAGGAGCGGGTAATAGGCCTGATTTATGACACTCAGCATGGGACCTGGCTGCTGAGCTCAATCACTGTGGCTCCCCATGGTGGGGTTCATGCGCTGTAAGGGCCTGGAAATTGGAGAGGAATTTACCTCCTGCTGCCGAACATTACATAACAATCAAGGGAAACAAGCAGAGGCAGGAGGGGGCCTCCTCCTCAGCTGGCACTGGCAGCCTGGCACAGCAAAGGAAGTAAGCCTGGGAGCTTTCTGCTGGGCTCTCAAGCCCTCAGCAGCACTCCTACAGGAGTGGGCTCCAGGGTGGCCCAGCAGAATCTGGCATCAGAGCCTGCCCATGGTACATCAGCCAGCAACTTCTAGAAGGGATAGGTGAAGAGGCAGGCTCCAAATGGGAGAGTGCTGCTATCAGAACCCATGTCACAGACCCTAACTGCACTTATGGACTATGCATCAATCAATACCTCCCCAATTTGCCATTGGGAATGATTCAAATAAGACCTGAGATTGACATCTGCAACATGAGAGCCCATGGAACAGAATGAAGATGAGCGGGGACACGGGACCAGATCAGCACAGGCCTCAGGGGTCATACTGAGGAAATGGAATTTACTTTCAAGTCCTTGAAAAATCCCTAAAGGGCCTCTCTTTCTCCTAGCCCAGCTGCCTCCCTAGAAGTAACCATCGGATAGATGGGCAAGTGGTAGCTGATGGGCAATGTAGTTCTGATGAACTCACAAGGAACATGAGTTCATGTCCATTTATTAAAGCAAGCCCAGGAGGCACCCCAGTTGGCAACGTTGGGAGGCACTGACTCCCCATCCAGTATACATCAGAGGGTAATCCTCCATTCTGAAACGATGGCTGGGCCTCAAAGACACCTTCCTATCCTGAATGAGCCACCTGAGACAGGTTCCCGGGTTCCATTCTTTACCGCTGCCTCTGTCACCAACACATGTGCCAGCCTAGAAATTACAATAAAAATTGTAAAAATAAAAGAACCTTATGTTCCAGTGAGATCTTACATAGACGCCCAGTGTATTTACCACCATCAAAATTAGCAAATTCTCGGTTGCCCGTCATCCTGATGTGCGCACTCCTTGAGGGCAGTGAGCACATCGTCTGTCTCCCTCAAAGAGGCACTTCCCGTGCCCAGAAGAGGCTCTAGGACAAAGTGGATATGGAAAATACTTGTTCCATCTGGAAAGGAAAGGATTGGATCAGATGCAGTTTCAGTAAGGCATCAAATATTAAGTGAAAACCACTGTATGCCAAGTTTTGCAGTCAGCGTTCAGGGTATAATGGTGAACAAATGCCTCTACTTTATTCATAGTCTAGTAGGAGAAATAAACATTAATAGATGTAAATTTACAACTGGATGTGTGCTAGCAAATAGAGGTACCTAGGGCTACAGATTTATAGCAAGAAGGACTCATTTAGTTACAGGAAAGTCAGGGAGGCTTCCAGGAAGAGGTGTTATTTGGGTGTTAGGACCCAAAGGAAAAGTAATACTTAACTAGGCTAGTGGGGCAGCGGAGGATGGAATTGCATTCCAGTCAGAAGGAGCAGCAGGTGCAAAGCCCTCCAGCAGAAGAAGTACGCCCTCCTGACCCTATCTATCAACCATAGCATTTCCACATTGGTCTGTTTCACATATTGAGCTTTCAAGATAACATTCTTTAGAAAAAAGTGTTTAGCAGCTAAAACAAATGCTGGAAGTCTACATAACAAAATAACCTCAAAGGGCCCTACTAGCTCTTAAAATTTTCTATGTACCGACTTGGAGTGAAGCATGGCTTGTATGCAGAGGTCAGGGCCAGAAGTCAGAGGTCAGAGGTGACTGAACACACCCAGGGCCTTGACTGGTGAGCTGTGGATAATGAAAACACAATGTTCATTTGTTTAGGTTTTTTTTTTTCCCCTCTGCATTCTAGACACACATCTCATGATTCTGGTCATTTCTAAGTGGGTTCAACATTTCAAAGTGGATTCCCAGAAGCAGGCATCTATTTGCCCTTACAACTTACAAAGTGCAATCAGTTAATTTCATTTCATCCATTCATCAAATATTTGGTGATAATATGCGTTAAGACATGTCCTTGGTAAGACATGTAATATGGAAATAAACAGGACATTGGCTCAACCCTCACAAAGATCAAAACTGCACGCACTTACCAGAGCTCTATCATGATAATGTTTCCCTGGAATGTCTGCTGTCCACCAGGCATTGTATTAGTCACCTCAGGTGCATCATCTCCTGCCATACTCACGACAGAACAATGAGATAAATACCAGTCCCATTTCAGATCTGAAAAATAGTTTCAGAGAAGTTAAGCAACTTGTTCAAGACCACAAACCTAGTAATTAGGGAGATCAGGATCCAAATTCAAATCCATCTAACTCCAGTCTGATGTCAATTAAAGAAATAAATTGAAGAAGTAAAATTACAAATAATTAGAAGAAGCTATAGGTAAATGTTTACCTGGCCTCATGCTGAGGATTTTCAAAGTATAGCAATAGAAGGGGGAAAAAAGGAGATTAATAACAATGACCATGTAAAACTTTAGAATTTCTACTTGTCAAAAATACCATAGGAACATTTGAAAGCTAAATGAGAAATAGAAAAATAGAGAGAGATCTCCAACATGACAGAGAAAGCTTTAATTGTCTCAATATGAAAACTTTTTATACATTGGTAAGTAGCAAAAAGAACTCTCTGACGGAAATATAGACAAAAGATACAAATCTCAAAAGGGAAGAGATAAAAACTATGCAATGACCAATAGGCACACCCAAAGTTATTATAAAAGTATTAGTAATCAAAACGATGAATAATTTAAGAACAAACAGTGTTACATCCTGCTTTTTTATTATTAAATTGGTAAAGATTTAAGACAATCAAGACAACCTTGGTATTGATAAATGTGCTATGAAATGAACACGTACAGACACTACATCAGTGTCTAGTGAGCATTTGACAATATGAATTAAGAGCCTTTAAAAAGATGATAACCTTTAACTCAATAATTTTACTTTAGAAATTTATCAGTGATACAAAGATGCATCCAGCAAGATGTTCACCACAGCATTATTTATAGTACAGAGAAACTATAAATCAAGTCAAAGTCCAGCAATAGGTGGACAGCAAAATCAATTTTGGAGTATCCAGATGATAGGGTAATATGCAGCCATTAAGAATCATATTTTTGAAGGAACTTTGGTTGCATGATCCATTTTATTTATCTACCTAAAAGGATATATACCAAAATGTATGACCTATTGCAGAGGCAATTCAAGGTGGAGAGATTGAAGATGGTTTATATTTTCTTTATGAGATCTGCCTAATTTTTCTGCAATTTGCCCGCATTACCTTGCAGTAATAAGTGCGCATGAATTTCTTCTACTTTCTAAATGAGCGTGCACAAGGCTCAGGTGCCTGCTTCCTCTGCCCAAACCTGCTTCTCTGCTTTAACTTAGTTCTGCAATTGACAAAAAAGAAAACAAAAAACAAAAGCCCCCGAGTCCCCTCTGACAGCTCCCTTCTTGGGTCATGTGTCTCCAGCTGGTCATTTCTACCGGTCCACTGCTTCACTTCAGGTTCCAGTCACCTCACTCCTATACTCAGCACTCACTCCTCACCGGATGCCCTGATCTTCTAGCCTCCAGCCCATCCCCAAACTCTTCTCAAACTCATTTTACATCTCTCAGCCAGATTGAGCCTCCTGAAGCAGAGAGAATAAATACCCTGTTATCTCCTGGCTCCAAAACCTTCTCCAAAACTCTCCAGCCCCTAAGAGTAAAATCCCAAAGCCCTTTACTGGGAACATAAAAACAAGAGCTACTGAAGGAGCAGCTTTGATTTATAATATAACTCATGGCTCCAGTTTCGTATGCAAGGTTGTGTGGCTAAGATAGAACCACCCTTAATTTTTTTTTTAAATGATGTTAAATGGCCTTGTTCCTGGGCCCAATCTTCCCTTTCCTCAGGTACCATCCACTAACCCACCCACGCTTCTCCCTCCCCTTGCCTCTCATACACCCACACTCAGCACCCAGTAGGTGCAGAGTTCAGGCTGCTGGGGGGGTGCAGGTGTTGTCAAACCTGGAGACAAGCCTGCCCCCCCCCCCCGACCCTGGCCTCACAGAGTCTCTCTTCCACCATAACTTTGTGATACTCTCTTTAAAGGATGGTGAAGGGGCTGTGACCTGAAAAAAAAAAATCAATGACTCTCCACTAATAAAGGTTCTTATGCGGTAAATGTGCTCTTGGGAAGCCAGATCCTGCCCTTCTCCACAGCGTTGGCCTGATGCCCCGGAGTGATTTACTCTGCGGTAACATGATGGAGCCTCCACCATGGAAGGGAATTAAATAAAAATGCAATAAAAGAGGACAAAATCAATCTGCTTACAGTTTTGTTTAATAAAAATTCATGAAGGATGGGCAGGCAGGCCCAGAAGCAATGTACCAGTTCTGCCAGAGGCTGGCTGGGGAAGCGCTGCTCGGGCTGCAGGCACAGGGTGGGGGCTTGACCGAAGGCCGGTGGAGCAAGCCCCCCACCCTGCAAGCACCGCACACTGGGTCCTGCTGGCAGTCAGTAAGGCCAGGCCCACCTCCCTGAAAGAGGGTGAACCAGCTAAGGCCAGGTTGATGGAAGACTTCTCCAAAGCTAAAGAAAGAGAAGAGACCTTTTCACATGGGATTCGTCTCCCTACAAACCAAGAAGCTCCACGTGTTCGCCGGTGACAATGACTGTCAAGCCCGACCAAGTATTTCCTTTCTGTCTTATGTGATAAGAACACTTAACCATGAGATCCACCCTCTCACCAAAAATTGAAGTGTGCAATACAGTGCTGTTCACCATCGGCACAGCATTGAACAAATCTCTAGAACTCATTCATGTTGCATAACTAAAACCTTACACCCACCGACTAGCAAATCCCAGTGTCCCCCGGCTCCGCTCCTGACAACTACCGTTCTACTCTCTCTACGAATTTGACTATTTCCCTTACCTCCGGTAAGTAAACTCATGCAGTTTTTGCCCATCTGCCACTGCCTTGTTTCATTTAACAAAATGTCTTCGAGGCCTACCCTTGTTATCACGTGTGGTAGGATCACTTTCTTTTCTGGAGTTGAATCATCTTCCATTCTATGTATAGACCACATTTTCTTATCCATTTATCTGTGGATGGACACTCCGGTTGTTTCCATGTTCTTGGCTATTGTGAATAATGCTGCATTAAACTTGGAACTGCAGATATCTCTTCGAGATCTTGATTTAAATCTTTGGATTAAATACTCAGAAGCGGGATTACTTAATCATATGGAAATTCCATTTCTCATTTTTTTGCAGACTCGCAATATTATTTTCCATAGTGGCTACACCATTTGCATTCCCATCAACCAAGTGTACAAGGGTTCCAATTTCTCCACATTCTCACCAACACTTAACTTTTGTTTTTTGATAAGAGCCATCCTCTTATCACTTTGATAAGAAGAGATATTTCGTTGTGATTTGAACTTGCATTTCCCTGATGATTAGTGAATCTGAGCATCTTTTCTTATACCTGCTGGCTGCTTGTACATCCTCTTTGGAGAAATGTCTATTCAGATCCTTTGCCGACCTTTTAATTAGCTTATTTGGGGAGGGGGGGGAGGTGTTTATTTATTTGTTTGTGGGGGGGTGATTTTGCTATTGAGTTGTAAGATTTCCTTATATATTTTGGATATTAATCACTTATGAGACATATATTTTGAAAATATTTTCTCCCACTTAAAACTTTGTGATACTAGCATAAAAACCAATGCTAGATAGACCAATGGAACAGAATAGAGAGCCCAGAAATAAGTTCATACATCTATGGTCAACCGATCTTTCCCAAGGGTGCCAAGAATACACACTAAGGAAAAAGCAGTCTCTTGACAAAATAGTGTTGGGAAAATTAGATTTCTACATACAAAAGAGTGAAATTAGACCCTCATTTCACATCATTTGTACAAGTCAGCTCAAAATGGATTAAAGATTGATTGATTGATTGATTGATTTTTGGATTAAAGATTTAAACGTAAGACCCAGAACTACAAACCTGCCTGGAGAAAACATAGGAGAAAATCTTCATGCTTCATGCCATTGATCATGGCAGTGGCTTTTTGGATGTGACACCCAAAGCACAATTAGATAAGTGGAACTACATCAAACTAACTAAAGCACTTTTACATAGCAAAGAGAACCATTAACAGAGTGAAAAGGCAACCTACAGAATTACTGACCAAGTATCACTTGTGGTAGAAACTATTTCTGTCCATAAAGTGTTTCTTCAGAACGGGTGGTTCTATGCAAAAGATTCCTTATCTTAGGTGGAAGGACCAGATCAAAGATCCAGTGCTCTATAAAAGGGCTAGCCCACTATGCCCTGCAGGCCAAATCTGGCCCACTATCTGTTTTAAATAAAGTTTTATTGGAATACAGCCACACACATTTGTTTACACACTGTCAATGGCTGCTTTTGCCCGACAGAGACAGAGCTGAGTTAGATAACACACGGCCTACAGAGCCTGTCTGGCCCTTTATAAAGAGGGAGTGTAGATCTCTGACCTACCCCTGAAGATCCCCACTCACCTCCCACAGGAACTCATTTATCCATTCAACCAAAACTATATAAGCTCTCACATGCCAAGCACTCTCCTTGGATGTCACAGAGAACAAAGACAAATAAGATGTGAGCCCTTGCCTTTAAGGGATTGTATTAGCTTTATTGTTGAATAACAAATTACCACAAGCTCAGGGGTTTAAAACAATGCCCATTTTTAATTTCACAGATGTATTTCACAGAAGTCCAAGTGGGCTCATCTAGTTCTCTGTTCAGTATCTCACAAGGAAGAAATTGAACTGTTAGCCTGGCTGACCTCTTATCTGAAGGCTTAGGGAAAATTTTGATTCCAAGCTCATTCAGGTTGTTGGTACAATCCAGTTCTCTGCAGCTACTATTGATCTGAGGTCCTGGTTTCCTTGCTGTCAGCCAGGGACCACCCTCTGCTGCTAGAGGCCACCCACATCACCTAGAGGTGGGCCCTTACATCTTCAAACTAGCCACAGTACATTGAGCACTTTCAAGGGCCACTTTCAAGGGCCCATATAACTAACTGTACTGAATCTATTTGGATAACCCAGGATAATCTCCCTATTTTAACATCAAATTGCCACATATCATAATCGTGGGAGTAATATTTCACAATATTCTCTCACAGGTTTTGGGTATTATAGTAGGGCATCTTTGGGGGATTATTTTATAAATTATATATGATATATGTATGAAAGATATATGTATATATATCTGATATATATATTGAAGATGTAAGGGCCCACCTCTGGGTGATATATATATATGATATATTTGGTATGATAAGCTAACTAGCTATAAGAGACCCCCTCATATTTCAGTAGCTTAAGAAGTAAAAGATATATTCATTCATATAGAACTGTCCAGGGTAAAGTTTCCAGGTCAGTGGAATTCTTTTTTTTTTCTTTTAAGATTTTATCTATTCATGAGAGACACACAGAGAGAGGCAGAGACATAGGCAGAGGGAGAAGCAGGTTCCCTGCAGGGAGCCTGATGTGGGACTCGATCCCAGGATCCTGGGATCATGACTCGAGCCAAAGGCAAATGCTCAACCACTGAGCCGCCCAGACATCCCAGATCAGTGGAATTCTTCTCCACACAGTCACTCAGGTATTCAGGCTGAGAGTGGCCTTGTCATCTTCAACACATGGCTTCCAACACCACCTGACTTGATGCCATCCCAAGCAGCCAGAAAGGGAATGAACACGGAGCAGCCCAGGTAGGGTATTTTATGGGCTAGGCCTGGAAATGCTTCAAAGCACTTTTGCTCATATTCTGTCAGAAATAAATTAATCACATTATCGCATCTAACTTGAAGAGGAAAAAAAGGAGATGAAGTCCAACTGGGTAACCATTTAGCCAGTACTTTTATCACAAAGGAGAAAAGAGAGGAAGGGTTTAGATGATCAGTAGGCTGTCTCCTACCCAAGCAGAAATAAAGGCAGTGATGGCTACGAATTGACATCGAATTACAGCCGCGGCCACTGTAACCATACATTTTGATATGTTCTAGTTTTTAATGCTTTTAAAAATATCCAAGTTGGTTCTGCTTAAGAAATTAATAAAAAGGAGAAGACATATACCAAAATAGCTAGATACCAAAAAATGAAGTAACAGATATCAAAGAGAGAGAGGAGAGAGAGATGGGTGAGATACTATGAAAATTATAAAAAGTAACCATAAAATCACTTGTGTTTGACTTAGTCTGAGAAACTATCTTTACTGAGGGCCATTCACTCTCTTCTGGGTGCTCACTGAATTAGTCTGAATGTCACCCAAATCTTCCTGGCTCTGCAGTGTATGCCCTACCCTCATGTGACCCTCCCCAACAAGAGGATTTAAGAAGTTGGCATTTGCACTAGGGGATTGTTAAGTAGAGAGTAACTCCATCCTGCCTAGGTTATGGAAAGATGACCTTGGCAGCAGGTGTCAAGTACATGGGATAGAAAGCCACCAATGAGGGAGGACCTCTGTTGGGCAAGTGTTTGAGGAAGTAAGGGTCCAGACCTCAGAAAGGACAAATATGAAAGGAAAGGAAAAGACATGGCAGAGAAATTCTGGAGACAGCAACCAGATTTTTGGAAGAGATGAAAATAGAGACAAGGAAAAGAACCTTGGTATCCTTAATTTTCAAGTCTAGGTGAAACTGTTTTTAACAGAAAGAGGGAAGCTAGAAGCTATAGCTGGGGTGAGAAAGAAGACACCACTGGGTTTAATTTGAGGCATGTGTTGGGTTTGATGCACTGGTAGGGACCACATTTAGAAACATCCCCAGGTAACTGAATGTGCTGAAGGGTGGTGCCATGGAGCTCTCAAGAAGTAGGAAGTGGAATTGAGGAGCCATGTGCAGAAGCAATGGGAGCAGTTGAGGTAATCAAGAGAAATGGGAGAGAAGTCAAGTCGCAGAGAAGGGCATCCTCACAAGATGTCAATGTGAAAGCAGGGGAAGAGCCCACAGAGGGGAAGGAGAGGAGGCAGAGGCAGGAGACTGGTGGCTCATGGCATCAGAGAACCCAGAACCCAAAGAAGATGGCATCTGCATTTACCTGGTTTTAGGAGCAAGGAGATAGTTGTGATCACAGAAAAGGAAATTTCTGGAGAGGGGTAAGGTGACCGATACAGAGCAAATATGAAAGACAGCCACCAAGGAATGTGAAAGCAAACGCAAGAATCACCAAATTCTCCCACTTATAAAGTACAAGTTTCTAACATAACTACAACTAGCTAGAGCCCCACTCACAGGCTGGCTGAGAAATTCCTTCTCTTGGGAGCTCCACTTCCTCTTTCAATATCAGTCTGTTTTAGCCATCTGTCCACTCTTAATTATACCAAAGAGGATGCAGGACTGGGACTTTCTCCACCTTTGGGCCAGGGAAAAAAAAAAAAGAGTCGGTACATCCTATTATGGAGACACAGAAACAAGTATGAGGAGTCTCCAGGGACACGAGAATGGAGGCTCGAGGTCCAGCTGCCCCGCAGACTTCCTTCCAGAGCTGGCCTTGCAGAAAGCGAGCTCTCTCACATGTGTTAGGGAATGAGAGGCCCCAGACCATTGTTTGGGGCTGTGAGATGAGTAGTGGCCCCAGAACGACCCGTCACAGCAATGGGTACCAGTGAGGCCAGTCAGCAGGACTGTGGGGCTTTCACTCCCTCCACTTCGTCCAAGACGTATGGCAGCAGATGTTAGAGCAGGGGAACTCGTTTACAGGCAAAGAGAGACCTGCCCTGGCTATAAGATGCTCCCAGTTGGGAAGACAGAAGATGAAGAGAATCAGGTAGTCCCCCCTACCTCCAGGAAGTCACCTTTGGGAAGAGAGAGCCATATGGAACAAGTCAAGCCCCAGGAACGAGTACAGCGGTGTTCCGGATGGTCAGCTGAAGCCAAAACCCAGGAAGGCTTTCAGGAAGAAGGGAGAGTACAAGAGCCCCGAAGAACAGGAGGGTAAGGCAGACAGCGAGGGCTCCCAGGGCAGAAGGGGTGCTCCTTGCAGGCCAGAATCTAGAGGCAGTGAAGCCCAAGGTAGCCTGAGCCAGGGGGATGGGAGTGCGGCCAGAGAGGGTCCCCGGCAGAGAAGGTGGTGAGCGGGGAGGCAGAGGGCTGGCTGTCAGGTGCTGACGAGGGCAGCCTGGGGCTCCGAGCATTCTCTTCCTCCTCGGCCACACTCAGTGGCTTGTTTGATTTCTCCATCAGTGTCCGGCTGACTTGTCTTTGGCGGGAGGACCGAGCTCTGGAGGGACCTGCTCATCGGGAGACTACCAAATGCCTATTTTATTTTCTCCAGCGTTGGCTCAGGGCAGGATGTCTCCTCCGGCCCGTGGCTGGCTGTCTTCATAACTGTGCTTTGATTGCCCCGTTTCTCCCAAGGGTTTTGGTCTTTACAACCTATTCCATGTGAAGGACTGCTGAGGCCTGGGGCCCGGGGAGTCTGTGCAGCAGGGAGCCTCCCCCTGGCTCTGGTCCAGCATCCCAGGAGCCAGCCCCCCAGGTGAGGACAGGTGGGGCACGCCCAGGCCCATGCGGACTTTGCCTGAGCCGTGCGCACAGAGGGAGTAAATGAGGATGGAAACCCAGCGCGTGCTCCACCCACCAGCAGCTTCCACGTGGACGAAGGGGCACCTTTGTCTGACTCCCCGGGGAGGGCCATGTGGGCTAGTAGTAGCCCCGACTCCTCCCTGCAGCCCAAGCCAGAGAGGGGCAGCCGTTCATGGGTCAGGGTACCACCTCGCCCCCCAGAGACCCCCCCCCCACACACTGAGTCCTACTCTCCTTACCCAGATCCCACAGGGCTCAGCCGGTCCCTCTCAGACAATAGCTGTGTTCTGGTCTTCAGAACAATACTCCTCAAACCTTAGCGTGCCTTAGAATGATCTGGATTACTCACTAAAACACCAGTTCCTGGGTCCCGCCCTCACAGTTCTGATTCAGCAGAGCTTGGAATTTGCAAGGATTCGCATTTTATAACATGTTCTCAGATGCTGCTGATGCTGCTGGTCCGGGGGCCACAGTTGGAGAAACACTCTCATGGCTCCTCCTCCTGGCTCAGCAAGAGGATGAAACCACCTCAAGGGCAGCCTCCCAGCCCCACGCAGCCTGGGTGTTCAATCAGTACGTATCGATTTTACTGAATGGGAGCAGTGAAGGGTAGATTGTTGATTGACTCTGGGATCCCATGAACAACTGGCTCCTTTGTGTCCAGCCCTATTAAGTTAATGGGAAGCTCAAGGGCACGGGCAGCGTAAAATGTGCAGGGAGGCAGGGCTTGACAGTCCGCAGTGGTGAACTCTGGAGAACCTCCTTCCAAATTGTCAAAAATAATAAAATAATAATGGTAGCCACCAATTATTAAGCCTCCTCTCCGCGCCAGGCCCTGAGCCGAGCTCCTCATGCAACCAGTCAACAAGGCTGCGAAGGGGGCACCGCGTGCACCCCCCGTTTTACATGTGAAGGTAAGAGGATCTCAGCCCAAGATCCCACAAGCAATGGGACAGCCCAGAGCTCCAAGCCCGCGTGCATCTGTGCGCCCTGCCACACTGCCTCCCCGAGGACACAGAGGAAGCCGGAGCTCGGAGGAGGCACGCTCCTGAGGAGAGTAGTCGCAGCCTGGACAGAGAATCGAGTGTGTGGAATCAAACAGCCTGATTCTGAAAGCTCGGCCTGCTGTTTACCCAGTGCACAAACTTGGGCCATCCCTTCACTGCAGGGCCTCAGTTGTCTGAACTGTGAAATGGAGCTAATGCCAGCCCGGGGATGCTATGGGATGCAATGAGAACGGACACAAAATGCCTGGCACAGCGTCTAGCTCTTCCTAAGGGCTCAGTCATGTTATTATCTCTTGAAACGGGTGCCCTCTTCAAGTCCATGTTTCGGAGCGACAACTCAGAGGCACATTTAGGAATTTTGTCCAACAACCCTGCGGCAGAGCTGAGGCGGGGAATGAAGAAGCAGGTGCAGACAGCTACAAAGAGGCTGTTGCCATAGTCCCACTGAGGCCTCAGCTCAGCAGGGCAGGCAGGAGGGTGGGTGTACAGAACTCAAACACCCACAGTCACTTAGAGAATCAACTCGAGGGCCCCCCACATCCCCAGAAGTGGAAAGGGGTGGCAGTTCTAAAAACCTTTATTCAAGGGAGTGGCCATGCCTGGTGAACACCCACAGGCAGGAGTTGAGCCTGTAGGATGCCACACGGAAGTCTATGACTCCAATATGCTGGGGCTTTACCTCCAGAAGCCCTCGGTGTGGCTGTCCCCAGACCAGCCAGGGAGAAGAAACCCAGGAGGCCCCAGATGGCCTGAAAGACAAGCTAATACAGTGGGCATTGGGGGAACACACTCCTATGTCTATAAGCACAGCTGTCACTGGCCAGCAGTAACCTTGACTTCTGTGAGCCTCAGTGTTCTTATCTATAAAATGGGAATGATAGAAGTGAGGCCTATATTCAGGCTTGCTGGGGGAGATGCATGCTGAGCTCTCAGCCACAAGGTTTGCCATCGAGCAAGCTTTATAAATACTAGCAGCTATTACGCTTCGTTGTGTTTATACCCGGGAGATCTTAGAGAAGGCTACAAACACTGGGTCTCAGCTTTCTCATTCCTAAACGAGTATGTTAATAGAATTTATCCCCAGAAAACTGTTTCAAAAATGTAATAAGGAGCACCTGGGTGGTTTAGTGGTTGAGCGCCTTCCTTTGGCTCAGGTTGTGATCCTGGGATCCTGGGATCGAGTCCCACATCTGGCTCCCCACAGGGAGTCTGCCTCTCCCTCTGCCTCTCTGTGTGTGTCTCTCATGAATAAATAAATAAAATCTTTTTAAAAATGAAATGAGGTCATGTATATCATGGTCTTAGCATACAGTGAGCACTCAATAAGAGTTAGAGATGATTTGTAACCAGAAGCACAGATAACCCCACAGCGAGGGTGGTCAGCTGTCCCCATCTGCCAGGGACCAGTGCTAAACTCTTTAGCACTGAGAGTTTCGTGTCCTGGAAATCCCTCTGTCTCAAGCAAACCAGGACAGTTGGTCACCCTCCAGCAGCCCGCGGGCCTGGAGCCCTACTTGCTCTCCCAGACAGTGGACGGGGCATTTCTGCCTATGTCAACCTACCTCTTGGAAGTGAGGCCAGGCTCTGAGCTGCCCCTGGAGTCTAAGGGGCCCAGGATTCCAGGGCCAGTGTTCTTGGGACAAAGGGTCTCAGCAAGGCTCAGAGAGTCCCAGAGACAGAGTCTGGGCCCACATTCAGACTTTGGTAGGTGACAGACCCCAGGCTAGATCCCAAGCAGAGGGACAGAACGAAGGGACAGTGGGGATGCTCTCTGAGGGTCCTGCTGGAATCAGAGCCGGGAGGGAGCTGACATGAATAATGCAGGAGAGGAAGCGCAGGGCGGGAGGAGCTGCCACTGGCGCCCAGCCTGTTCCCAGCCAGGCTGCTGCCGAGCACGAAGCCTCCCAGCTGAGCCTGGGAAGCAGTTATCACTGGTGGGTGATTAAGTTACTAATCCTTCAGGGAGAAGACATTTAGAGGCCCATATTAAAGCAGCGCGCGGCAAAATTACATTCCGTTTCAATTTAGTTTAGCAATTCCCGTGATTTAGTTAAATGAAAAGCAATTGTTCCAATTAATAGTATTGAATGTTATTCGTCAAAAGTGTCAAAACAGCTCTGTGGCTGCATTAGTAACCCATTCTCTTGTCAGAGCTCTGGGTAATTCCCCGGGATAGGGTGGGGAAATGGTAGGGTGTGGGGGCTTTGGGGGAAAGGTCAAAGTCAGAGAGGGCATTTATGTGCAAGAGTGCTCCTGTGTAAGCTCATGTGCTGGTGACCTCTGTGCCCGGGTGAGTGTGCGTGCGGGCACGTGTAGGGTACGTGTACGGATCCAAACTGTCCCGAGTGTGCATATTTATATGTACTTATGTGTCCATATGCTTGAGTGTGCCTGAGGAAGTGACTGGGCACGCAGTGTGCATATGGCAGCGGGGTGTGCACCTGCGTGTTGCCAAGCATATATATGTAAATATGTGCAAGGGCCACATGTGCCCATGGATGTGTGCATATGGGAATTTGTGTGCGTGTACCCACAAGTATTTAGATAGTTATGTACTCAAGTGTGTGTGTGGACGCACACTGTGACCTTGTGGCTGTGTTGCTGTCCGAGGCAATGCGTTGTGAGCGTGCATGGGTATGCACATTTGGCTACATCTGTATGTATTGTACATGTCTGCCTGAATCAGGGCAGGAGGTGCAGGGTGCTTGCTGCCTCCACCGTTTAAGAGAAGACTCATCAGTTTCCATCCTTACGCCACAATTAGTGTTTTGGCTTGTCTCTGGGATCATTCAAAAGCAGTTCCCACGGGGTCAGAGGCCTTTTCCATCATGTTCACAGCCATATTCTCAGGACCTAGAAGACAGCCTGGCCCATGACATACACTGATTAACTAGATTAATAAATAGATGGAGAATGGATAGATGAATGGACAGATGGACGGATGGACAGGACAGACAGCTGTAGGTTCCTGGTTCTTTCAGGCCTCCCGCTCATGTGGCTGGGCTCCCCAGTCTTCTTGGTATGAATTCCAAGCCCCTCTGGCTTTCAGCTTCAGCCCCCTGGGGCATCCTTGGAAAGCTCCATACTGGGCAGGCAGTTGGCTCAGAAGGTTCACAAGCTGCCAGAAACAGCCAGGGCTAAGAACAGGAGGGGCAGGGACTTCTTTAGAGAAGCTGGAAAAAAAAATGCTAAGCTTGCCTAGCCAGACAGGCTCAAAATGATGCAACCAAGATGGGCCCTTCAGGGCTCATATACCCTCAAGCCAGGATTCCCACATCTGTCCTGTGTCCCTTGCCTGCAGCCGCTAGTCCCTGCTGACTCTAGCCCAGACCTGTTTTTCTCTGTCTCTGATTTTCTTCCTGCCCCTGACCCTTTCCACAGCATGGGGAAGCCAGTTCCCACCTCCCTCTGTCCCGATGCTGGTGCAGCTCATCATCATCCCATTGCCATGGACAGGAAGACAAAGGCAATCTACAAATGGCTTCCTATCTCCAGTGTCCTCACCTTCCGGACTTCCCTGGGCCTTGGCTCTCTCTGGAGCGGACAAGACCCAGAGCAGGCCACTTTGTGCGGCTGTCCTTCCTGCCTATCATTTTGAGCTTTGGTGGGGGTTAGTCTGGTCCACCTGCTGTCAGGGCCTGCCCCCTAGTGGCTGACTCTGGCCCATGCACCACCCCCACCCCAGGGCACCAACTCGGAGCAGGGTGCCCCCCTCAGTCAGCCTCAGCCAAAAAGAATCCCCGAGTCCTTGCAAAGGCTCTACAGCGGCCTGTGAAAAATAATAAAAGGAAACGTCGCTAAAGCGGACTAGGAAGGCTAGAAGGGGAGGCCGGAAGGGGTAGCCATTCCACTCCGCATCAATTACAGGAAGAATGATGAGTTACAGACCCCAGAAGAGGAGTCTCAACAGGAAAGAACCATCAGTGACAGGCCCCACCAGGGAAACATGTAATTGCACCCCTACAAGAGATCAACCACCCCAGCCACTCAGCCAGCCAGAGACCGCCATCACCCCGACCTGCTTTGCTCCAGTGGACTTCCCTCCAAACAACCCCTCCCAACTTCCTCCTTCTTCTCCATAAAATAATGTTCCTCCTCTTTGTTGGACTTGCCTATGGTTTTTGCCATAGCTTGCACGTCCCTGATTGTAATTCTCTGCTATTGGCAAATAAACCCATTTTTGCTAGTAAAATGATTTCCATCTCTTAAGTTAACAGGTCCCATTTGTCCCTTTCCAGATGCAGCCACAGCAGTGCCAGCTCCCCCCACCCAGATGCACACGATGGAGGCCTGGCTGCCCAGAGTCTGCATTGCCCT